ACCCAGAGAGCATTGCACATTGAAACTGGATCAAACAGACACATAAAGAGTTTATAATCCATTGTGATAATCAAACTCATAGTTTTATGTTCAGACAAAACACAGATCTGATCAATCAATTCAGGAGCACACAGACAATAAATCTGCTTTACTGGTGCAAAAGCACAGACATTTCAACAGACATGCTGCTTTTTCAGCATCAAACCACCACTGATTGAGTTTATGTAGATTTTAATTCATTGATGCTTTCTCAGTCTTTGAAAGCTTCATAAAAAAAAAGAATAATGTACCAATTGTACTTTAAAAGACTCATCGTCTGCACTCTGTGTGTTATGGGAATCTTTTTTTATAAACATCCTTTTCCAAGAAACTCATGTCGACTGTCATAATTGTGTGATGTGTTCTTGGTTTTGCATTTTGAATGTAGAACTACAGGTACTGTGCTGCATAAACATGTACACTTAAAAACGTAATTAATACAAAATGAGGCTTTAATTAACTATTCATCGAAATCTGGAGTAGTTAAAACAGAGTAGAAGATTAAAAATGGAGGAAGAGAGAGAAGAAGGAGAAAAAAGCTTCACTGTGACCAACTGCTGCAAACAAATGTTTCTCTATGTAATGCGGAACGAAAAGCTGGTTCACGTCCCATCCCGGAAGTTCACAGTCTGACATCTGGTGGAAACTCAAAATACTGGTAGTATCAAAGTACTAGTGATGGGAAGTTCGGATCATTTTACTGACTGGGTTTTTTGAATCTCGTTCAGCAAAATGAACGAATGTTTTTTCGAGTCATTTCGTTAATTTTGAACGACTCGAAAGGTATTATAGTGATGTGTCCTTCACGAAAATCTTTCCCATGACTCGAGAACATCGGGTCGACTCGGGGAGTGATTCATTCATTTTGTGTTGACCGCGCATGCGCAACATCGCATAAGATTAGTACACCTTTCTGTTCGTTTTTGAACGTGATCAATATGTGCATAAGTAGATGGGGAATTAACATGTAACATTTTAATTACATTCTGCTGAAGTGAATGAAATTACTCGAAAGACTCCACACATCGAGAGTAGGCACTGGAATCGTTTTTAACCACGTAGTGAGCACCCCGCCTTAGTTAACGATCTTTGCTGAGAACAGGAAAACAACCCAGCAGCGACTTCCGGTTGCTCCTCCGCCTCCAGTCAGCTGTCTCACGTTTGTATACAAACAGATCCGTCTGCAGGTCTTTGCTCCATACTCTGTGCAATTCTAGCTCCTCCACGATGGAAGAAAACAACGACGGCGACATCATCGAGCACCACATCGAGGAGGACATGGAGAAGAAGACGAGGAGCCAGGCAGCGTCCCCCTCGTTCCTGGAGAGCGTCAGTTCCCCCGATAGAGATTGTCTCAGCAGCACCCAGTCCTCCCACAGACTGCTGGCCTACAGCGATGCCCTCATCTCCATCATCGCCACTGTCATGGTAAGACACACAAAACACTTCATGCATTGCCGGTTACTCAGCAGCGTTCTGGTGTTTGGACTGCAGAGACCAAGATGAGTCAGGCTTCAACTACAAATCACTATGGAGTCAGTACAAGTGGAGGCTTATGCAGAATGCTCCCTGTCATTGTGCTGTTACTGTATGCATGTAATGTAATAATGGATTATTATCACGAACTCATTCATATGTGAGCAGCATTTTTATAGTGCAGCTCGTAGAGGTGGAGCTGATTTCAGATCAGATGATAGGAAACTCACAGCAGCAGCTGATGCATAGTATTGAACTTAAAAAACACTCGAATAAGCATTATTAGCATCAATGATATATAAAGTGAATCATGACAAAAACAGTAATGGATACTATACACCAAACAAAAACTATAAAGGGAGGAGACAAGTTGTAATACATATAAAGCACAGGAACAAGTTTTCAAACCGGCAAAAAGAACAAGAGGTTTTACACATTTCATGGAGTCTAAGGACTAGTAGTCGATCCTGTTTTCAGCTACACAGTGACTACAGAGGGAGTACATGTGTGTAGCAGTCAGGAAACGTCTAGAGATTAAACCACACCATGATTCAAAGCACTGAATTTGTCTTGTGTTGGAGGAAGGATTCAGTTGAAAGTCTCAGTTGTTTACAGATGTGCAGCATCATTACTTCATGTATTTCTCCTCATACTGTTTCATGTTCTCACAGATTTTACCTGTTGCACATACTAAAGTGGAAGATAATGAGGTAATGTTTCACTTCTATCATAAATAAGAAATGGAAAACCTCAATTTTCTTACTGAAAATCCTCAATACAAACGTCAGTAAGAGTACGGATAAAATGCATGAGGACTACTCAGTAGTATTACAGTGATACTGTCATGTATTACTTACCGTAACCAGGGTTTAATGTGTTTCTCTGCGCTGAAGGAGCTGAGGGAAATCATGCAGGTCCTGTTGACAACAAAGATTGGTGTTTACTTAATGACATTCCTCATTGTGACTGTTGCCTGGGCTGCACATATCAGGTCAGTTATTATCACCACCATCATCATCATCATCATCATCATCATCATCATCACAACAGCTGTTTTCATGTTTGTTAACGGTCCAACTTTAGTTGTGGCAAATTATTGTCATTTTTTATTACCAGATTTACTTCCAGTGGAATTTTAGCTTCCATTACAAAAGCTAAAAAGGTTTTTAAGCTTTGAAACCTACAAGTACAATGGGAGTAATATATCCAGGTTTGTACACAGTCACATAAATTAAAGTTAATTTTCTAGAAGAATGCATCATAACTCTAGCATAGATCATTTGTAATATAATATGTAACTAGGTAAAGTAATTTTCTGTTCAGAGTCCCTTTGTAAAGAAGAGAATCATGTTTTTAGGGCTTGGCTTGTGTGTGTACTTATAGCAGTGTACTTGTGAATGAAACCTGCTTTCTGCTTGTGAAGTTCTGCGTTCGTTTCCTTTTCAGGCCTGCATGATGCTGATAACCTTTCTGCCGTACACAGTGAGTATGAGCTCAGGGGCAGAGTCAGTCACACTGTTTGTTAATGTTTATATCATCTCTAATGTTCACGCTGTCTTTTCTCTGCAGTTCTCTCTGATGGCAACTTTCCCTGAGAACATTCTCGGGATTTTACTCTTTTGTGGTTGTGTGATGGTGATCGGCGTCATTCAGGTGAGGCGCAAAGTTTTACTCTCATCCATTTGGGGAGAGTCTGTCACTGTGAAATGTACATCTTCTCAAAGCATCAAAATACCCAGTGGTGGAAAGTAACTAAGTACATGTACTCAAGTACTGTACCCAAGTATTTTCATTTTGTGGTACTTCATATCTTAACTTCACTACATTTTAGAAGCAAATATTGTACTTTTTACAATATCACTTTTATTTTATAATTTTAGTTACTAGTTACTTTTCAGAACCAGTTTAATAAAAATAATAACTGTATAATCATAAGACTTTATTGGTCTTTGGTGGAAACATCAAGAGATACCCAACAGTACTTCAAATTATAAGCATATAAACTAGTTAAAACTAGCTCCCTCCTTACCGGCTGCACCATTAAATGTGATGAACACAGTAATGCACCAGTAATTATATTCCAATAATATGATTTATATTAATGTTAATGTGCAGCCATTCTACATTCTGGGTACTTTTACTTTTAGTACTTTGAGGATGTTTTGATGCTAATACTTTTGTTCTTTTACTTAGATAACATTTTGAATGTAGGACTTTTACACTTTTAACAGAGTATTTTTACACTACTACTTTTACTTAAGGGATCTGAGTACTTCTTCCACCACTGCTAATACCACCCAGTGTTGATATCAATTCACTTTCTTTCCTCACTCCACTTTCATCTAAGATGGTATCTTCTAGCTTCTGACTGGCTGAACACACCTGAGCCGGGTAATCAGCAGCAGGTCAGGCAGGGATAGTTGGAAAAGAAGCAGGACAGCGGCCCTCGAGGACTGGAATTGACCACCCCTGGTCTAAATGAATCTACCCCACCTAGTCACAGTAACTGTCACATCCCTCCAAACACAGGCCGAGGTGGAGGTGTGACAGCGATCTTTGACTCAAGCCAGTTAATCAACCCTAGACCTCAACATAGTTATAACTCATTTGAAAGTCTCAGCCTGAGTCTCTTGCACTCATCAGATGATGTATAGTTTCAGTAACACCGATTCCATGACATCAGTTATTCTTTGACAGTTTCATGGTTGCTGGGCCACACATAATGATGTCTGAGGGGTCAACTTGAAATAGGGCAGGTGAGACAGTTTGTCATCCTGACAATGGGAGCAGCACAGGTGTTGACAGGCAGAAAAAATGAATTTACATTTACAATTTATGTATTGCCACAAAATGGATATTTCAGAAACAACTGATTTGGTAAAATAAGCTTTAAGATTATATTTAGGTTTGTTTTTTTGCTTTGATTTCATGTTAGGTGCTTTGTTGGAGAAAGTTTGGTAAATTGGTCTGTAAAGTCAAAGGACCTTTGTGTCTAAATGTTGTGTCTAAATGTACACAACTTAGAAGCTATTTGTTATGAATGTGATGCTGGGAGTTCAGTTCAAAATAAAAACTGAGCCAACCTCCAGTGTGAGAAGCTTAGACAAACCTTCATCAGCCTTTTTGCTCTGAGAGAGGCAAATGACAGATCCCACTTTCTTTTCTGCATCTCTCGCTTTCTCTCCCTGTCTCTTTTCATCTTGCTGTCTCCAGAGAGAAGGTGTGTGTTGACTATGGCGACATCTGGACAGAGGAAGCCTGAGGCTCCCAATGTGACACACAAATGCTATGTTCACACTACATGCTGAAGTGACTAAAATGAATTTTTTTCCCCATCAAGTGACTCAGAGCTGACTTTTTCAGATGGGATTTGGGCCACTTGCACGTGTGCTTCTAGATCCGATTCATATGCTATATGCCATAAGTGAGAGATTAGGAGTACAACAGCATTCAGAACAGAGCTGGATACATGTCACTTACATACATGAATGTGAACAATGAACAGAAAAAGATCAGATCTGACCAAAAGATCAGAATTGATGAATAAGGCTTATAATGGGAACATGGTGCAAGTTCCCACATATTTCTGAAGTACACCCTAGTCTCAGCCCCTGAGGATGCAATCTACAAGAGAGAAAGAGAAAAAATGGCCAGGTTCTGCCAAGCAATGTCAGATAGGATGGAGTACTGAGTCAGGTAAGGAGAGACGCTATGCAACTTGTCCTGATGCATACAGTGCATATTCAAACACTCAAGATCCTCATTGGAGGGATTAAGTTAGTAGAAATCTGGTCAGCATGCTGTAACAGTGCTATATTAACCTGGCATTAAACACACTGCAGTTTATAAAAGACACAATAAGGGGATGCCACCAGAGATAGTAATGTCCTCAACAGGATGAACCTACAATGAGGCTGTGCCAGCAATATGAAAATAAAAGCATTAGTGTGCAGAGAAAGCCCAAAGCAGCAATAACAACCAGTATAAGACTACCAGCAAATTAGCAGTACTGTCAGTAACACAGGAATCTGTGATGATGCAGCAAAGGTGGGTTGCCTGGGTGACAGTTGTGGTGCCAGGGTCTGTATTGCCTTCTGTAGTGCAGGCAAGGATACAGACTGCACTGTGGAGGATCGAATCCTTAGTATGATTGATGCTAGATGTTATCCTCTACTGATTTCTTGGGCAGTTCTCTTAACATTGACAAGTGCTTTTCTGTTTGCAGTGGTGGAGGTTAAAGTGCAGCACATCCGATTTGATGACACACTGGTAAAAGTTCTCAAGGAGCTTTTGCAGGAATGGGGCTCTCTTCAGTCACACGAGGAAATAAATTCTTCCTGTGAAGTATTTTCAACAAGAGAGAATGTGCTGAGAGCCCTAAACAGAGAAACTTGAGACTAGGGTCCCACTCCACCTTGTGGATGATGCAAATGAGATGTATGGCTCTGGCAAGATTTTGGGATTGTTAGCAGGCAGTGATAGTAGCCTCCAAGTGGGTAGAAGCATTCTTTAGAAACATGCTTGTAATATATTATTGTTTTTGGAGACACTACTGGTCAAATAATCAATCCTCTGCTTATGATGTTGTAAACTCACAATGACTGTAACTTTGTAACACCAGTTTATGTTTGGTGCTGTAGTAGTGAGGCTGTTGCAGGTTGTTAGTGCTAACAAGTTGCTAACAAGTGGCTAAATGAGACCACAGAGGCTGTCTGAGATTTTACACATCATCACAGAGACCCATCTACTCACTAGTGCCCCTTTACAGCCTTGTTATTTTTAAATTTGTGCACTTGTAAACTATTGTAACTGACACAGCCCAGATTACCAGCTAATCAGGTCACGCTAAGAGGAAAGGATTTTGTAGAAGAAGTGCGTGCTAGAAATCAAATTACAAGTTGGAAGCTGTGGTGGTGATGCTGAACTCATGGGACCGTGATGTAGTTTGTTTACAACCTAACAACAGGCTATAAAAAGATCATAAAAGTGGTGTTCATTGTGATGCCTATTTTATTTGGGACTCAATCTTAAACTGAATATGCCCCTTGGAATTCAAATAAAAATACTCTGTGGAGTTTTTTTTTTATAAAGAATATTTACATTCAGTGGTACACACAGTAAAACACCTCGAGATTTATCAAAACTAAATGTTGAATGTGCTTCCTTCCTCATTAATGGCATATATGATTACATTAATCAGTAGAGAAAAAAAGTATGTGATACTATGTTTGGCCAGCTACTCTGGGGCACTTCGTGTTCATTTGTATTGCTGAATGGCAGGAGCCCCGTTGAACTACAGCAATGTAATTTGTGGAGCACATGAGCGGTGACAGGATAATAACAGTTGCTGAGACTGAAGATGCCCATGGATGAGAGGACAGGAAGATGCTGTTGATCTATGTGGAGACTTAATGCCATAGTAAATGCTAGTCCTTCATATCATTGATCTGTCGTAGCATTTGGAGTCATCTGGCTCTATTATCCTGCCAGTGCAATTTCTGAGTTGCATTATTCACAGTCTTTATGCAATTTTCCCAGGGCACATGTTTACTTTCTGTTGTGCATTGGTGTGTTTGGTTTCCAGCCATGAATGAATGTGCTTACACTGAAGTGGGAAGAGAGGTGCAGTTGAGGCCCTGTGTATGCTGATTAGGCAAGACAGTGTAGTTTTGGTCCTCTGTTTTCTAGTGATAGTGATAACTATAACACCTGCTCAGATCACCTCTCATTGCTGTCACAGGTGTATTTGCAATTTTCCTGACAAGTGCGTGAGCTGGGAAGCACGAGATCAGGTACAAACATGTATTTTAATGGCCACACCAACTTAAAATTAACCTTTAAATCCACAACCGATCTGCTGGAATTCACTCTGGATAATAAATTTTGTATCATGAAATGTGTGATGATTTCAAAAGGCCATTTTTAACCCTTAGTAGTTCCTTTAAAAAAATCACACATATGTACCTAAAGGCAAATTAGTAACCCCTTATAAAAACAGCTCCAAAAATGTCATAAATTCATATTTTTTTCCACTTTAAACTGACCAATCTTTAAAAACTACTTGTTCCTGAAATATACATATCAAATATGAATTATATTTCTGGAATTTTTAACCCTTTATAGGCCAGTATGTTTTCATAACTCCATATTTTTATATGGGAACAATATGGAAAATTAGAATAATTTCCAAAAAAATACATTTCAACCAGTATTTGTTTATTATTATTATTAGGCCCTGGGATAGGTCAATGATTGGCAGCAACATTGATTTTGAAGCATTTTTTTTTTTTGGCAGAGGCAGATTTTAAGTGCCTAATGGCAAAAAGTGTCCACTTACAAAAACAGCTCTAAAAATGTCATAAATTCATATTACCCTGTTCTGTTCTAAAAATAAATTAAAAAAAATACAAGATTAGTTTGAACCAGAACATTTATTTACAAGAACAAAGGACAAGGAACACTAAAAAACATAAACTTTGAATCACTCTGTGTATTAGCTCAAGCAGAGGCTGCAAATAGAAATGGAGTGGTTCTTGCAGCTAAACCTGTGGCACTTACAGCAGGTGCCTACAACCCTCTTTTTTGTGCACAAGTGGCACTGCCGTCTGCTCTTGACTTTGCTCCTCTGACTGCCTGCTAGAATGTACCTCAGCATCTGGTCATTTGGGGGAGACCACAAAAGCGTTCTATCTGTCCATGCAGCACCTATTGCATCAGCCTCGCTCCTGCTGCTATCTTCAGACTATCACTCTTAGCTCTCTGTCTGCAAGACTACATCCAAAGCTTTATAAACTACTATTTCTCTGAAGCTTCTTCCGGTTCTTTTAAACCAGGAACTCTCAATGAGACGAAGTAGACTGCTTTAGATTTTATAAAAAAATAACCGTGCTGGTTTATTCAGAGGATCACAGGTAAAATTTACATTACACGTCCAGATCTTTCTCTCACCCTCTACCTGCGCGCAGGCAGCAGAAAAAGATCAAGAAGCCTGGACCAACAAACCTATATAATCTTAATCATTTTTTGGGCTAGCCCATGCTACTCGGGGCGTCAAAACCGTGACGTCACCTGATAAGCCAGCTTTGCAGCTGGCTATAACGTTAGCCAAAACATGAGGAAAAGTCAAGGTGTGTGACTGTTGTTTTCGTGGTGTGTATCTAAAACAATTTGACATAACCTTACACATTAAGACAAATATTAAGACTAGCATTACAGTTGACACTAACAGCTCTTTTCCTGTAACCTTGACCTGCCTGCAGTCTGCACTGCAAGCACAGTTAACAGCCTGAGCTAGTCAATCTGTCTCCACTAACATTTCTAGACAACAAATCTCTGAATATCTATCTAACTAGGAAATAACCTAACAGCTTCTTGCGTCCTAAATCTTCTTACCATTTCACCTGTCCATACTCCCGCCAAACAAAGTCGAATTTTGTTTGGGTTCTTGCTTCTCATCTTGAATTGTTTATAAAATAGATTGCAGGCTTGTAAGAGAAAGCCCTTATGAAATCCGACACGTGCATGCGCTTACGTACACGAACACGCATGGACCGTCACATGTGCGCATGCACGGACGGACACGTGCATGCAGGCATGGATGGACACAGACACAACTCATGGCGTGCGCATGAGCAAATCTGAGCAGAAAAGGAGAGGAGACAGATGAGCCGAGAGGAGTAAGCCATGCATGAATGTGGTTGGTTTCGATTCAGATCTTTAATTATAAAACACAGAATATGGCTTTCTAAGACAAAAAAAACCTATGAAGTTGACACAGACACACCCATGTGGTTGTTTTTTCGTAGCTATAACTACGCGAGCGCACGTACGAACGCGCGCACAGACAATTATGTAAATGCAAACAGAGCACACACACAAATCATATTGATATAACACAATAATGATGCACACTTTATCATTTTCAGTCTTTTTGCAAGTCACCGTTGCAAAAACTGGGAAAATAGTGAAATTTGGATGAATTTGCATGCATGTTTTCGAAATGTTCGCACGTCACCATCTGATGGTCAACTACTAAAATTGCATTTTGAGACCCTCTAGTTTAAAATGGTGTATTGCTTCAGGGCATTGAAATATGACATGATATGATGTATTTGGCATCAAAAAAAGCATTTTAAATGGTTTTCAATGGTGAGTAACAGTAACCTAGGTACATATGTGTGAGTATTTTTTTTATTTATTTCAGCCATTTTAGGCAAATTTATGGAAGTGATAATTTTTCAGTTTTTAAAAAATAAATAACCCAACTTAAAATGAACCTTTAAATCCACAACCGATCTGCTGGAATTCACTCTGGATAATTAATTTTGTATCATGAAATGTGTGATGATTTGAAAAGGCCATTTTTAAATTAGTGTGGCTATAAATATGAATATGATTAAACAGTGCTGGTGTGTGTCAGGACACACAAGGATACAGCCAGAGATGACCTGAAGTCGGTGTTTGGGAATCCAAATCTACGTTAAAAAATTACACATACTAACACAAGATAAACAGGGTAACAAACACCTCGCAGACGTCTCGATTAATCCTGTTATGCAGGAGGTAAAGTCAGTCCAGGCTCACTGTGCACCACTGCCACTGCTAAGTTATAGTGTAGTGGTTAAAACAAACAAGCTACAGTTAATACAATACAATATGTAATAGAATACAGTGTGTGTGTAGATGACATGTAGTTACTATATGCAGTAGTCAGTTAATAACTAATTTCTGCAAGCCCTCTGTACTATGTCAGCTCACTGGGTAAATAGTTTGTGTGTGCTGAAGTAAGAACATTTTGGGTTCATGGGCTGTTTGTTTAACCCATTGGGTCATCTTGATCTGGAGATGACCTGTTAACTAGGTTCGGGAATTGGCAGGGGAGCCAAAAGTGAACAGTGTACAAAAGGAGACAGTATGGTGCTGCAGCAGGGGTAGTGTAGTGTAGTGTAGTGTGTGCATGCAGAAGAAGGACGTTTGAGTGAGACCCTGGCCAGGGGGACGTGATGGACTTGACTGTGCTTATGACCTAAAAGAGACTGACTGACTCTGTGACAATCTTCTTGTCTACCGTAATACTGCATTGATTTCCTGCAGGAAAGGTGACTCTGTCCCCTATCATTCAGACTGCTGATTATCTTTCACAATTGTTGAACTGTTTAGTATTATTGTAATATTAAATGATCATTGGCATAGTGATTCGTCTGTGAAATAATTTAGCTCGCATCAGGTCCTAGCAACCACAAGTTTCTTCAAATGAACAATAACAACCTTGTTGAAACCTAAACTGCATAATCTAATAACTTGTCTTTAATATAATAAAAATGCTGAAGTCATATTATTCTGACATTTCTGTATAATACTATGTAAGTGCAACAACTGTTTTATGAGACAAAGGCAGATAGTTTTATGTACTGCTCTTAAAAAGATTTTCTTTTCACTGCTCATCAAATGACACCACAAAGAGTCATCTCTGCCTCAGCGCACTGTGCAGTAGTAAGTAGGTGGTAATGAGTCTATAAGTGTTTAAAAACTAGCAAGATAGTCTTTTCCCACTAGTTTTACTTTGCACTTCAGCATTTTGCATGGTGCTCAATTGTTGTTTTGTGTATGATGCACAAACTCCATCCATGGATTCCAGTTTCCCTAACAGGAAGAGGAACAGAGCTACTACATGAAGCATCTGTATCAAAAAAAAGTCATCATAAGAATGATATATAATCATAATCTCTGAGCTTCATCGGTTGCCTGGGAACCAATATCCTGCATTAAGATTCTGAACACATATCCAAAAGCTACTTTTACTAAGACGAGTGTCTTAGTACTGTATAATCTGTGTAAATCCTGATTAACCTGATAAGAAGAAAATCCCAGCCAGTATCTGACATAAAGCCAGGACCACTTTCTGCAGTAAGACTCAACTTGGCGACGTTTCCACTGTCACCTGTTCAGGGCTGTCATGACCCGTCGTCTGTGCCAGGATCGTCTGCTGACACCGAGGCAGTTGGGACTGGGACATGCTTAGCCTCCCCTTCATCCCAGCTGCTAGCACCATCTTTGCTGACACTCATATTTGTTTTCTGCAACCAAATTACTTCCTAATATCCATCACATCGAAACTCCAGCAAAATTATTCAAATTTCAGCTTCACACCACATTGACAGGTCACAGGAACTGGATACAAAATGAATAATCAGTGTCATCACATCAAAACCAATGCATAGATTTCTTTTTACTTTGTAAATACTGTGTTGCATAAAAGAATGTTCTGATTTGGGAGTTGTTTAGCTTTTATGAATAAAATGTGGCATAAAATTTAAATTGTGTTTCCTACGATCATGAACAGCTGACAGTGAAGACAGGTTCTTACTTTCAGACAGTTTTTATTGTGTGTTTATATCTACAATGCAAATCAGTTTCCCTCTGGGGTAATAACGTTAATCAAGTTAATCAACATCCACTAATCAGTGATTAGTGATAATGTTCTAAGAAACACAGCAAAGCACCAGAAAAAAAGTAGCAAACATGGATGTAAACAAAAGGTTTTTTGAACAAAAACTTTAGCACTAGACTACCTTAAAAGTAGTGTGTAAACAGGCTTCGACAGCACCTCTCCATATCAACTTTTAGAACAGATTTTAACAGAAAAAAGTTTTGAACAAGTTGCATTCAGTAGCTTTAAATAAAGGATTTGAATACTGGGAAAATCTCACACTGTTGCTACCCTACTTCTCCCCGGTGTGGACCTTCTTGTGGACCTTCTTGTGGACCTGCAAGTTCCACTTCCGTGTGAAACTTTTTCCACAAGTGTTGCAAGGAAACGGCTTTTCACCGTTGTGGGTTCTTAAATGAGCAGTCAATTCTGACCTCTTTCTGAATCCTTTCCCACAGGTTTTGCAAGCATATGGCTTCTCATCTGTGTGGACCTTCTTGTGGACCTGCAAGGTCCCCTTCTGTGTGAAACCTTTGCCTCTGGCCCGGTTTGCAATTTATTTAAAAAAAAACCCTTGTTTAAATTAGTTTAATAATAGAAATGGTGTAATATGTTATATGATGATACTGTGAAAACACAATATTTTCTAGGACAGTTATCATACTGGGAAAATCTCACACTGTTGCTACCCTACTTCTCACCTGTGTGGACCTTCATGTGGACCCGCAAGGCCCCGCTCTGTGTGAAACTTTTTCCACAAGTGCTGCAAGGAAACAGCCTTTCACCTGTGTGGGTTCTTAAATGGGCAGACAAGGTTGACCTCCATCTGAATCCTTTCCTACAGATGTTGCAAACATGCGGCTTCATACCTGTGTGGATTTTCATGTGGACCCACAATGTGCTGCTGAATGTGAAACGTTTCCCACAAATGCTGCAAGGAAACGGCCTTTCACCTGTGTGGATTCTTAAATGAGCAGTCTCTAGCCAAATGTGAGCTCTGACTGAATCCTTTTCCACAGGTGTTGCAAAGATGCAGCTTCTCACCTGTGTGGATTTTCATGTGGACCCACAAAGTGCTGCTGAATGTGAAACTTTTCCCACAAGTTTTGCAAGAAAATGGCCTTTCACCTGTGTGGATTCTTAAATGATTAATCAATTCTGACCTCTGCTTGAATCCTTTCCCACAGGTGTTGCAAAGATGCGGCTTCTCACCTGTGTGGATTCTCTTATGGATAATTAAGGTACTACTACGACCAAAACTCTTCCCACATGTTTCACAAGAATATGGCTTCTCACCTGTGTGGATTCTAAAATGTTGGTTCAATATGGATTTGCGCTTAAATTCTTTCCCACAAGTTTTGCAAATAAATGGTCTCTCACCTGTGTGGATTCTTAAATGATCAGTCAAATGTGAGATATTCCTGAATCCTTTCCCACAGGTGTTGCAAAGATGCGGCTTCTCACCTGTGTGGATTCTAAAATGTTGGTTGAATATGGACTTGCGCTTAAATTCTTTCCCACAGGTGTCACATATGAAGTGCTTGTTACCTGTGGTAGGATCAGAGTCAGTCTGTGACATGGGAGAGTTGTCCACATTGCTACTGTGATTGGTTGAGCCTGAGTCTACATGATGGTTTCCTCTCTGATACTGGCTCTCAGCTACAGGAGAGCTGTGAAAGAGGAGCTGCTGGTCACTGTCTGGGTCTGGGTCTGGTTCCCTGTC